AATAAATCTGCACCTAAGGTAAATCATCTATTTACTGCATTTCAAATAGGCAATTTGGCCAAAGTAAACAGAAATTATGCACTGCATTTCATCAGATTGTAATCTAAACCCAACAGTAACACCACTTCAGGCAACACAGGAAGAAATCATGAGAGGTTTTAATTCTATTTCAAATGCATTATTCAAATAAAAGCAACTGAATTACAAAAGCCTTTTTAATGTAAGGTAACACAACACATCCACAACATTTTCCAAAACTGGACTGCCAGAAAGTCAGTATGACTTTGCAGGTAGCCTAACACACTAGCATCTACAAGTATTCTGAATGTATTCACTGCTAGCACTTCCCAATACTGCACTAAAACAAGGATTTTTACAGACGGGTAACGATGGAACTGTGAAGAAGCCAGCACCACTACTTTTCGCAGCATATTCTAAGCAGTTCTCTCACTTAGTCCTAAAATAAAATGGAAGTGTCTCCAGATTACCGCTTTTCCAGTTGTCAGTCAAACACGCTAGTTAACTAGTTACGGAAAATCAGATGCACACATTTAATCAAAATATCTTAAGAATAATTTAAGCTTAAGAATGATGTACTTAAAAGTACAGTAATTCCCAGTTTATCAAAACAGTTAATCAACAGCCACCTATTTTCTACTCTTCTTCTACCCTCTACCTTTACCACCACAGAAATAAAGAAAAGCAGAAGAAAAGGTTTTAGCTTAGCTGTCTAAAGCCTTTAACAACGAACATAAGCTTAAACCCTCAGAACTCTTAGAGCTTTTCTGATCGCTAGGCTAAAATAAAAGCATACTTTTAAAAAAACTGACCATATTCAGAAAAAAACCCATCTTTTTAATCTTTTATTTAATAGCGCATTTTCTATTAAAACAGAACTGTCTCTTTAATTATAATTTTCCAGTAGTTTACTGAAAATTCTAAGGAATTTCAATTTTAGTATTTTTTAATAATGCGCATGAACTCCTCTTTCTCTGCTAAATGGAAATTGAGCCACCTAAACCATCCATAAATATTTTAATAATAAATAATAATTAATTTAGCAACTATCATTAAAATGTCACACATTGCACATATCATTTGTGCACTTTGTGACAGGATGAGGGGCAATGGTTTTAAACTGAAAGAGGGGAGATTTAGATTAGATATGAGGAAGAAATTCTTTACTCTGAGGATGGTGAGCCCCTGGCGCAGGCTGCCCCGAGAAGCTGTGGCTGCCCCATCCCTGGAGGTGTTCAAGGCCAGGTTGGACGGGGCTTGGAGCAACCTGGGCTGGTGGGAGGTGGCCCTGCCCAGGGCAGGGGGTGGAACTAGATGATCTTTAAGGTCCCTTCCAACTCTAACCATTCTATGATTCCATGATTTTAAAATATTTTATTGTAATTCTAACATTCCAAGTATCCAGTGCAATTGCAAAGATTGCAACACTCAAAGCCACGAAAGATGAAGCTAATACAGAGACACTTAACTTCTTATTCTACAAAAGAAACCACTCTTCTATACATTGCAAAATGTTTGTGATTTTTTTTTTGATGTTGCACTTTGCAATTTTAATGATAAACAGAACTTTCTTTCACATGTTTATTCTGAGAACATGCAAGACGGTACAGTAGCACACAGCCACACTTCCCGACAGTATGGCAGTGGTCCCACACCCTGGCGAATGCAGATGGACATTTTTCATGTGCCACACTACTGACCTCACTGCTTATCTAGGCATAAGGGTTCCCCCCTGGGAAAAGACAAAACTGGGGCAGGAACCAAGGGCAGGATAGGAAGTCTTTTACTGGATTGCCACTTAATCCTCTATGGCGTCTTTTTATTCTCACTGGCCAGGAGAAATGGCATGATAGTTTTGAGACAAAGCAGGCCTTGCTGTCCACAGCATATGCAGTTGCTGAATTGCAGTACCTGCTCTGGTCCTCACGGCAGCGTAACTGTGACAGCCTGTGAAGCCACCAGTACATCTTTTGTGCCAAGTCTGAAAACATCTCTCCACCCACATGAGGTGTAATGCTATTTATGCATCATTTGTACTTTCATGTGATTTTTTTCCTTCTACAATTTCACCCAGGAGGAAGAAGGGAGAGGAAAAGATATTTTATTTTGCTCATTTAAAAATGTTTTAAGAAATCATAGGGAATAATAATACCATCATTCTAATAAGTTTTTTTTAAGGTGTATTTATTTATTGGAAAATAAAACTAAGTTTGCAAGTATATTTAACACAATTTGATAGATTTTGATGTATCTGTAACTCGGAACAACTACCTTCTCTCTCTTCAATAAAGTATTCAGTTTTTCATCATGTCACTCAAACATATGATCTCAGTAAGAGGAATACAAATCTTCATAATAGAGTAATACATGCAATTGGGAAAATACACATGGCTATTTATCTAAAGCGTTGCCAGAGATATATCTACAATGTCTGCCCTTTTTGATTTGTCCTGTTTCACACATGCCTGTACTCTCTAAGAAGAGGGTGTGACAAAAGCAGCCAGAGGATGTAGGATAGAGTTTACTGATGAATTTCGGAGGAGAGGCTAAAAAAGGCTGCACGTACACAGCATAAAGTAAAAATAAGACAGCGCTTGAAGGTGCAGAACCCCTCAAAACTAACAGTCCTGCACAGAGATATGAGCTCTCTCTTGCTCAACCACACAACATGAAAAAAAAAACCAACACCCCAAAAAGTCCCCCAAATCTCTACACAGTACTCTACACTGTTTTCATATGCAATCTTGGTGTAAATCCAATGGTAAACCATGGGGAATCCCTAATCAGATATACATCTACTTTCCGTAGAAATCCATGCAAATAAATAAACTGCAATCTTATAAGTCTCTACAATATTAAAACAGCCTCGTATTTGAAAATACTTCAGGGTTGTGGCTCTCAACCTGCAATCCAGTAAAAATGTTTGCATAATCAGTTTATCAATGCACATTTTTTAAGAAAATTTCCCTTAAAGTTCTGAACTTTATGTAATTATGGCTTAGAAGAGGATGATATAAACACGTCTATCAAGTGTCCTTTGCATTATTTATTTCAGATACTTAGATTTACTCTAAGAGACAAACAATAAGCATTCTACTATCATAACCTGACTGCAGATCCTGCAAATGCAGATGAAAACTTAGGGTGAGAAAGTGGTTAAACCATTTAATCTTCTAGTTCACCCACTAAGACAATAACTCTTATCTGTTTTGTTTCCGAAATGCAATTTTCGTATATGTCATTAGGGAGAGGGAGAGGGAGAGAAGAGGAGACTAGAGAAGTATCCATACAAAGAACATTTTTCAATTGTACCTGTAAACATACCTATTTTTTTGTAGAACAGTTCTTATTGCTTGATTATTTTAGACCTATGCTAACGGAGTAGCACAGGTCTGGATATATCTTTCTAAGGAAAGAAAGAAAAGAAAAGAAAAAAAAAAAAGATTGAAATAAGGTATCCTGAATTTTCAAAGGGCTCTTTCTTCTAATCTATCTGCTTGGATAATGTGTCCAGAGTGGCATTTTGTAATGACAGCAACTTTCCAACAAATCAATAGTTATTTAATTCCCAACAAGCTCTCGAGTCCATTAAACCTGATTACATTCACCCATTTCAGTTGGGTGCAGTTATTTTTCCTACACCGGCACTTAATCTATAACAGGAACTTATGAGAACTTTCAAAAGCAATTTCAACATCAATCAGCATAGAGTGAAAGGCACGATTTGCTTGTAATTATTTATTGGACAGGATGGCACAGGGTCTGACTGAGCTCTAGCGTCTGACCTTCACCCCCAAATTCTAATGGATATGAAGGCCTGCTTGATGTGTTCAAGTGTGCTACCGTGTCTCACTGCATAATAAAATAGCTTGCATGTTCCAGAAGACACAGTTTTTCAATACCTGATCATGGCCACTGTGCAATGCTATATTTCTGTTTTAGACATACATGTCTGATATTAAACCTAAAGTGCAGAACACAGCTCACAGTCTTCGATTACTGAATGGACCTATATGGGGAAAAAGCCCCTGTTTTATGCTGTGATTGCCCCTCTATCCCAGCTAACTGTTGTAGTAAAGCATCATAATGAAAATTTGCCTCTCCTCCACAGTTAACTTGACTGATCACTGGCATGACACAGAAATGCTGTAATAGACATGTGTCACTCTTGACCCCTGTTAATGCGTAATATCTACCCACTGCCTTTTGTCAATGCTTGGAAATGTTACTTATATCCTTTCTTAATGTCTTCTAGTACTGTAAAGAACAGAATACTTTTTGCTTAATTAGTGTCTACATGATCTATTCAAAATCCTAACAGCAGAAAATTCAGTAGTACTTCTCAATAAAAATAAAATAAAATAAAAAACAGACAACACAACCACCAAATCTAGCAACTACCAGTTAACTTCTAAAATATGGAACTCGCCCTGAAGCAAGATCTTACACTTTCAGGGCTCAGAAAAATTAATATGATGTGCATAAATATTCTGTGAAGGTGATATATTTCTATGCACACAAAAACACAAACCTTTTTTCATTCAGTGTGACGTATAACATATGAATTAATGCATATTTAACACTATTCATATTCACTGTGCTAAAACACTTAACCTAAACACATCATGGTAAGTTACTTTGTCTTATGACCTGCTGTGGGAATGCTGACTCCCTCAGAAACCTCGAATGGATAGCAAATCCTCTGCCCTGTGGTCAACCTCGTGAAGCAAAGGCATGAATGTTAAACAGCAGACAAATCAATACAAGCAAATATAGCTCAACTACACCATTTATTCAGCCATGAGAGACGTCAATACACAGATTAGGGTGATCCATCTTTTTGATTTCCTACTGTCTTCTCAGTGACTACATGAGAGCTTTTGCCTGTATTAAAAGTGTTTGCTTTCTCAACCATAAAAATTCCAATTATTACTCTAAGTGCACTAGAGTTAAGTTGCTTGTTGGAAGCGGCCTTGCATTACCTGAACAAGTCCAGCGAAGTATGGTGCTGCCGGCAGAATCATTGGCACTCCATATGGATGTAGCAAAACTCCTTGAGACGACAACATGGTTTAAGTGATAGTATTACTCCCACTAAAGCTAAACACATCAATTGAAAGTTAGGGGAAAATCTATATACCAACTTCTTCCAAACTCAGAGCTAGAACCAAATAACTTCTGTCAGGGGCAAAGCCCACATCAGCTGTAAAAAAAAGAAAAAAATTGACGTCAGCAACTCTTAATGTTAAATTTTCTTCAGAGACAACAGATAGAGACAACAGCTGCAAACCTAACTCTACCAAAAAAGGAAGGTGCTATTTTGGGATCAGCTTAAGTAACATGACTAACCAACTGCTCTTTATCAGTTCAGATTTTTAAGTACTATACACAAACAGATCAAATTCTGTACAGATCTACCAATTAGAATTAATTTTCCTATAAGTTCTGGCATATACATGACAATAGTTACTATCAGAAGCCAATTAAAAAATAATCAGGCTTATCACGATAGTGTAAATAAATGTTTCCCTGTATTTATAAGCTGTTAAAAAATATTCATGTGAGAGTTTAAACTTAAGTCTGTTACATAAGATACATTTCTGTTTTGATTCATCCTATTTTTGTTGCTTATTTTGAATATTTGAGCTAGCTAATGCAAGCTAACTAGTTCTATTAGCATAAATTATATTTTAATGGCTTTTCTAACCTTTCACATCTACGTTGTTACATTTATTGTAGTTTTTTTTTTAAAAGAACGAATTTGATCTTTAGAGTATTTCATATTTGTTCTTTAGTTAAACTTCCAGTCTTAGTGTAAGAGAAAAAAGAGCAAGTTTTAGGCTGTTTTCCCTTCTAAACAAAACAGATTTGCTTTTTCATGTACTGCTTGCAAGATATTCTCTTCCACTGCTAATCATTTTTACTTTAGACAAAACAAACTTAGTCATTATCACCTGTTTCATGTGCAATGTATCTTCTATTGCAGATATGACTAATTACAAGAATTACAACTGTGCAACATTTTTTTAATTCAAAAAGAATTAGTTAGGTCTTAAAACTTCACGTTACAAGGTAAAAAAAATAAAATCCTCTCCTACAGTCTTTGAATAACCAGGGTGCTTCACATCACTAATTTTGGCTACTTGATTTTGTTGCATAATTACTTTCCCAGATAACTAATTGCAGACAAGATTTGATGCGATACTCAATTATTTAATGTCACATTTTGACCATCATGAAAGGTTTTCAGTAATTGATTCTCATGTATCAAGGCAGCCGTATTGCATGATTTAGAAATCTGCCTTAGCAGCTGCACGTTGTCCCTTGCTACTATCATCTGTATACCATTTCTAACCTTAGATGTTGAATTGCGACCCACTATGATGCTCTTTTGAGGGACTGCCAACAAAGACAGCAATTGTCACATGATGAAGTGATGCTTACCTAGTTCCATCTCGTGTTATAGAATCGCTTCACTTTTCTGTTGGGGATAACTGTTCACACTGGTTATCTGACTATGCTTAGCTATCAATCATATTTCTTGCTCTTTTCTTATTAGGGAACAGAACCCTGCAGTTTAATTATTAAGTACACAGTAGGCTGACACATCATGGGTTTTGCCAAAAGATTTTTGTAAATTCCAATACAAAACAAGTTATTAACTTTCAAATGGAACAACAAAAGGTATATATAAGAAAGCGAGTTGCCATTACAACTCATTTAAAAGTATCTAATTTCTAAAAAAAATTTCATCTGAACTATTACCTCTTTGTTTGGTCTAACAGAGTGAGCTGCATTTGAAGAGAAAGAAGATCTCTTTCACCTAGGAATGGAGATTATAAATTGGATTCTGCAAGCTTTACTCAAATGACTCCAGCGGGACAACTGACATACATACGGATTGTTAAATTGCTCCGTAAAATACCCAGTCGGGTTTTGTTTCAGCATGTATGTACTTGATAAGATGTTAGAAAACCTAAAGAGCAAGACATTTTGTACAGGAAAGCACGGGCTCAAGGGGAGCTTTTCTGTGATCTGTTTTGGGACAATTTTTTGCTTAATATTTTCATTAATTATTTTGACACAAGGAAACATGCTGATGAGATTCCTGATGACAAAGTTGTAAGGTACTGTCAAGACTGAGAAGGATAAGAATATTATATAGAAATAATTGCTCAGCCTTACAGTCTGCAATAACAGAAACAGGATGAAATTCAATAATACAAAACGTAAGGTCATGCTTCTGCTAATAACAGAAACTTCAGTTCTAAACTCAGAAAGAAGAAAAGCAGGACCTCATTGCATCTGTTTAAGGAATTTAAGTTGTTAATGTGATGCCAATGTGAAAAGGCAAATTATCAGTATTTCTTAATTTCATTTCTTGAATAATTTCTTAATTTATTAAAGGTACTTCCAATAGCATACAGTTCTCTTCATCCACATTAAAAAAAAAAAGGTCAAATTACACTACAACTACTGTACAGAAAGTCCTTTTTGTGTTGTTCAGGGGAACAGAGCAACTATGTTATAGCAGGAACCTAAGAAAGTTTGATTTTATAAATCCTAGCAAAACAATTTGTGAATAGGGAAAAAAACAGTAGGAGGAAGAGACTATTTAAGCTAAGGACAGTCCTGACACTAAAAATCAAGGAAAACCTACTTATGAATAAATTTAGGTTGAAAATATTTTTTCAAGTTGTTTTTCAAAAGTATTTTGGTGTTGACTAAGTGAGGGTTTACAACAGCCTTCCAAATCCATAGTAACAAAAAAGGATAGCTTGTAAAAGAAAATTAAATGATGCCAACAATAGTGGTAGTCTGAACTCAGCAACTTATAGGAGGACCCTTCCGGTCCTTTGCAAGCAGTATAAACATTCAAGAATAATGAAAATATCAAACATCTAAAAAGCATTTATATTTACTACATTGCAGATTATAATATATAAAAATAAACTTTGAAAATAAGCTGTAGTTACCTGTTTTAATGAAAGGATGCTTTGCTTGCCTCACTATAACAACATGCTTCTAAATGTATAGCCGTATGGCACTCCAAATCCAAGCTCTGACTTTCTGGTTGGGCTCTTTGTTGATGTCCCATGTGTGCACCAGCTACCTAAGTTCGCACAAACCTCTGTGAATCAAAACCACAGAAGTACAATACAGCTTTACTTGCATCTCCACCCCGTGCCAAATTCTGAACTTACGCCAATGCAACTACATCAGCTTCACCAGTTTATACCAACATATTTGCTCTCCCTCCCAGCCACAGAAAAAGGAAATTTGTCTTGTTTCACAGTTCACCATTAGTTAGCATCAATGGTCACTCCTGTTCTGCAAGAATATATCGAATACACAAAATTTGACCATAGAGTGCTGGGGACTCAGAGAGTAAGACAGAAGAGTATTAAATAAGCTAATCATTCTGTTTCACTTTAGCAGGACCTCTAGTATGATTAAGGTTAAGCATGAGCCTAAATGTTTTTGCTAGGACAAAGCCAGAACAGTCAGTACTATGCACAATCACCTGTCTGAAGCCACTGATGGTGACAGTACTTACTTCCTGCCTACTCCAGGACCGTTACTCCCTGTAAAAAAATTAAGTATGCGTGTGGGTGGAAAAGGGGAGATCATCTATCTTGAACAACTATATAGTTTCATTTCCATTACATTCTAGAAAATTATGAAGCTGTTAGAAAAAAATGACATGCTAAACTATTTTCAGTATGTTAATGGAGCGCATCTTTCTCTCAGCTGTTTCCAAAGCCTTTTTATTATTAAAAATTTTCAAGGATTTTCTGAAACTGAAAACTGATTTTAAAAATGAAAGACAAAAGAAAAGAACAAGAAAGCAGATGAACACTAGTTTTAGATATAAAATATATACACACAAATAAAATATACAATCTTATTTGTTTCACTTCTGCAGACCTTTGCTAAAAGGCATGCATTATTTACAAAAATGAATCTACAGTTTTAAAAATTAACAACAATATAAGAATTTAGTCACATTGGACTGAAAACTCCCAAGTGATACTACCTGAGTCACAGCTAAGAAGCTCGTACAATACACACCTTTTTAAAATTCATTAACTAAAGACTAGTTTTGCACCAATAATACAATGCATTATCTGAATTGGTCAATGTAAGAGACTATAAATATTCTACACAGAAATTGACTGAACAATCAAACTTCCAAAATCTGACAGGGTAGTCCCATTATGAACTTGCCTCGTAGAAAGAAGCTGGGTTTAAAGGTGAACACCATAGGTTAAGTAAACTAAGGTGGCAGTAAAAGGTCACAAAATACGGAAATATTTCAATTCAGCTGTCTAATGCCATGATCTTATGTTCTAGCACAGAACTGAATCTACTGACAGGAGTGCTCTAATAGTGATTTCACTGCAGACTTGCTAAAAAGTCATTTGAAATGGGAAGGAAATGGAGACCACTGTACAGTACAGATGCACACAGAAAGAAATAGACAGAAGTATGCCTGAAAACTGGGTTACACATTCAGGCAGAACAATAAAAATGAAAATTATGCAAGAAGGGTCAAGGTTCTGATCCCACCTGCCTATAATACCTAAATGGTGCATTAAACAATGACCAAAATATTCCCCCAGGCAAAAGCAGATGCCTAGTTTTGCTATGGTTCAAGGCAAAAATGACTTCAGCACCTTCCTTGGAGCCACATTGCCTGGAAAAGGCAGATCCCTGCAATGCAGTCATCAGCCAATCAATGATGTATGGTCTAATCAGACCCTGACAGAAGTAATCTATTTAGATCATCTTTCTGCCAAATAATTAATTCTTCTTAATGCTTATATCTAGTTCAAAATACCACAAACAATGGTTCTTCCAAAATCTACACAACACCACCAAACTTCAAATAATTTCTACTTCCTTCCAACATTGGCCTAACTTTCCCATGTCATAGATCATAAATAATTCAGGTACCACTTTGGCACCCTCTTCATAGCTTATGCTATGTCATATTTGATTCCCTTAAGCTCTTCCTCAAACCTCCCATTTTCTGGCCACCTTTCTTATTCTCCAGATGCTCTCAATTTTCTCTTTAGGATTTCTCAATGTTTTCTGGTAAAGGAAGACCCAGAACTGAGAGGATGAAGTAGTTTCCAAGTCACCTGGTAACTTCCATCATCTACAGGAACTTCAGATTATTGTCCCTAAAAAAGTATTACCAAACCAGTATCATGCATGCCCCAAAAGTGAAGGTGAGCTGCCATTGACTAGTATTGCATGAGGTAAGCAGACCCAAACATTAAATTAAATATCGGTAGATTAAGGTCACAAAATGACCTTTTGTGACCTTTTGTGACAGCTTAGGAAGGTCTGTCCTGCATGTCTTGCCCCATTCTCTCAACTGTGACTGCTGCCACTGTTATCCCTACTACATTTGTCTTGCAAAGACTATTTTCACCTTTCTGCAAAAGCCATTTGGGACCAAAGGCTCTTCAAGGGCATCAGAAGCACTATCCAGACTTGACCCGTCCTCAGCTGACTCTATTCCACTCTTGTAAGCAAAGCTTTGAGTACATGTAGGAGCTGTTTGTGCCAAGTATCACTTCCCCAGCCAACTTCTATTACACTTAACAGTAGGACCAAAATACAACACAAATATTTCGGTGACTTTTAAAGTAGAAAATATTACATGTACAAATCAAAGATATTTACTGACCTAATATCAGTACAAGTATGGCGGATGCTATTAGAGTTTGTTGAGTTTATTAAGCACCTCAGTTTACACTGGTGTATAGGGCAAGGATATATATATATATATATATAAGGGAACTATGGGCCAGTCAGTCTGACCTCAGTACCTGGGAAGGTCATGCAACAGATCATCCTCAGTGCCATTACACGGGACATGCAGGAAAACAGGGTGATCAGGCATAGTCAGCATGGGTTTGTGAAAGGCAAGTCATGCCTGACAAACCTGATCTCATTCTATGACAAGGTGACCCGCTTAGAGGATGAGGGAAAAGGTGTGGATGTTATATTTTAGCAAAGCTTTTGACACCGTTTTCCACAGCATTATCCTGGAGAAACTGGCTGCTCATGGCCTGGACGGGTGTACTCTTCGCTGGGCAAAAAAACTGGCTGAATGGCCGTGCCTAGAGAGTGGTAGTGAATGGAGTTAAATCCAGTTGGTGTCCGGTCACACGTGGTGTCCCCGAGGGCTTGGTGCTGGGGCCAGTTCTCTTTAATACCTTTATCAATGATCTGGATAAGGGGATCGAATGCACCCTCAGTAAGTTTGCAGATGACACTAGGCTGGGCGGGTGTGTCGATCTGCTTGAGGGTAGGATGGCTCTACACAGGGATCTGGACCGATGGGCCAAGGCCAATGGTATGAGGTTCAACAAGGCCAAGTGCCGGGTCCTGCACATGGGTCACAACAACCCCATGCAGTGCTACAGGCTTGGGGATGAGTGGCTCGAAAGCTGCCCAGCAGAAAAGGACCTGGGAGTGTTGGCAGACAGCCAGTTGAATATGAGCCGGCAGTGAGCCCAGGTGGCCAACAAGGCCAACGGCATCCTAGCCTGTATCAGGAACAGTGTGGTGAGCAGGACTAGGGAAGAGATCATCCCCCTGTACTCGGCACTGGTGAGGCCCCACCTTGAGTACTGTGTTCAGTTTTGGGCCCCTCACTACAAGAAGGACATTGAGGTGTTGGAGCGTGTCCAGAGAAGGGCAACGAAGCTGGTGAGGGGTCTGGAGTACAAGTCTTATGTGGAACGACTGAGTGAACTGCGGTTGTTTAGCCTGGAGAAGAGAAGGCTGAGGGGAGACCTTATCACTCCCTACAATTACCTCAAAGGAGGTTGTAGATAGGTGGGGGCTGACCTCTTCTCCCTGGTGACAAGTGACAGGATAAGAGGAAATGGGTTCAAGTTATGTTCAAGTTCAAGACGAGGTTTAGATTAGATATTAGGAAAAAAAATTTTCACTGAAAGGGTTATTAAACATTGGAATAGGCTGCCCAGGTGGATTAGCCATCCCTGGAGGTATTTAAAAAAAAAAAAAAAAGGGTAGATGTGGTACTTGGGGACATAGTTTAGAAGTGGTTTTGTCAGGGTGGGTTAATGGTTGGACTTGATGATCTTAAAGGTCCCTTCCAACCTCAGCAATTCTATGATTTTATGATTTAGAAACTGTTTACAACTGGGAAAGCCCACCTTTTTCAAGTATGTGGAACACTTGTTTTCAGCACATTTTTCTTCCAAAATTGAAGTTTCCATTTGAATATTATATTAGCTCTTAGGAGTAAATTAAAAACTAGCTGCAGTTCAAGATGAACCTAGCTGATTCTTTCAATCAGAAACCAACAGTGTTTCAGTTCCACTCATGTTCAACTTTCTAGCTTTTTTCTTTTAAACATACAGTGGTGGCAATTTTAGAGATTTCAAAGATAAATAATTATAGTCCTGCTGAGCTTCAGACAGAATTATCTCTTGCAAAAACTTAGGAAGTGTATTTGGGAAATGCTTTGTAGTGCCAGAAAATGAAGGCATTCACATTATAGGCCAACTGGTCTTACATTATTTGAAATGCAGTATCTCAGCAAATGTTGGTCTCTGAGTACACGGCCAATCCTTTTTCTTCAGTTTGACTAACTCCAAGCTTTCTTTTTTGTTGTCAGTACTGTGCACTGATTCACCTGCTGATCTAGTATCCCACAGGCTAAAGAGTGCTACGTTTACTTTGTTTCTTTCTGAATGCTCCCATAAAGATCACTTCTTTCCCTCCTTGAATTGCCCCACAACACATCTTTTTACCACCTCAGCAACTATATGGTACTTGTTGTCACCTTCAAGGGCTCACTTCAGCCTATTCCTACCCTAGCTACTACCGTGAACAACTGAAAGATTAGTATCTTCTTCATATTGACTTGAATATTAGGCTCCCTCACGTCCTAACACAGTCAAAATGGGATCAATACTTTCTCCTATAATTTCCTGATACCAGGTAAGAACTTCCTATAAACACCTACGAATGTTCTCTTTTAGCCCGTAAAGCCTCCTCTTGCCAGAATGCTGCCAAAAAATGTTGACAGGGGGATGAACTGACTGCTGAATAGCATGCTGACCAATATCTCTGTTCCTCTGC